CAGGGGCGCTCCGCCGCCGGCCCCGCCCCGGCCCGCCCTGCGCCGCCGGCGGGAGGATGCTGCCGCTGCCCGTGCGCCCGCCGGCTCCTGTTGCTCGCGCCCCGACGAGCGTCTCTGCGCGGAGCGCGGCCGCGCCGCCCCGGAGCGGGTGCTGCGGGCCGGGGGGTGCGGTGCTCGCCTGCCCGCCCCCAACTTTCTCAGCGCCGCCTCGCCGCCAGCCCCGCCGGAGCGGCCCGGGAGCGCCGCGCCCCAGGGGAGGGGAGGGGGAGCGGGCGGCCCCTGCCTCCCCGCCGGCCCTGCCCCGCTCCCGGCACCCGGTGGTCGCCGGGGCACACCACTCCTCCGGGGATGTCGGGGCTTCGCACCTCGGCGCTGCGGAGGTGGTTTTGTTCCGCTTGTCCCGTCCCGTGGGGACGGGACGCCTGCGGGAGCGCCTCAGCGGCCCTGGCGACTCTGCGTGGATGCGGAAGATGGGCATGAGAGAGAGGGTGGTGGAGAAAGGAAAAATCAAATAGGGAAAAATCAGGGGGATAGGGAAAAGAAAAGAAGTTGCGGCCCGGACAGGAAGGAAGGAGACCCTGGAACTGGATTCGGATTTCCTAGGAATGAGCAGCGCCAGGCTGGCCGACGCGAAAAGAGTTCGCTGCCCATTTTTGAGCTGAAAGCCATAGCTTTGTTTCGAAAATAAACTGCTCACGGGGGTAGGTGCGCGTCGCAGGCTCCCACTATCTTCGTCGAAATAACACAATAGGGCGGACCGGGGAATTTATTACTACTAACAAGAAACAGCTTTCTTCTGCGAGTTGTTTATAAATCATCGTGTTTAACGTGAGCGCTGGAAAGGCTCCTTGCCTGGAAATATTCCTCTGCGTGGGGGTGTGGAGGAGAGGGGGGGATGGGCTCCTGCACATAAACATATACACAGCAGCAGCATAAACAGGATATCCAGTGCCCTGAGACAAGGGGCGCAGCAGGAGTTACCTCGTTTCGTTAGTTTAGCGGCGTATCAAGAGCTCCTTCTGCCGGGGGGTGGGGAGGGGAGGGAGGGAGGAGGAGGAGGAGGAGAAGGAGAAGGAGAGGAGGAGGAGGGGGGCGCAAACTTTGTCCATGAAAGAGTAGACATTCTTCCTAAGGTTTGGGTTTGTTTTTTTTTTTTTTTTTCCTTTTCTTCGAGGTGCAGGCGAAGGAAAGAACAATACTGCCTTTTCTGCGAGTGTTGCGGAGAGGGAAGTCAGTGTCTCTGAAGTGAAGCCGTGCCTTTTGTTTCCCGCGTGTAAACAACTGGGCACCCAGGAATTTTATAATTTGATGCTCATTTTCTTGTCTCTCTCCTCCCAATTAGGTGTAGACCAGTGAGTTGAAACAAAACAACAGGGCAAGTCCGCAGCAGGCTTCTGCCAAGGCATCGCGGGCACCGTCCTGGGAGAGCCGCCCCACTCTCCGCGCCTGGGCCAGCCCTCCCGCCCCGCTCCTGGGGCCGCCGAAGCTCCGTCGGGGGCGACTTTCCCGCCAGCCCGCCTCCAGGTCCGCTGCCAAAAGTTCTTGCGTGGACGAGACAAGAGGGGCCACGCCACGCGTCATTTTCAGAGCGCGGTTTTCACGCGGGCGCCTCCAGCGTGCGGTGCTCGCCGAGCACGGACCTGCCCCGGTGGTGGCCCGAGGGACCTTCCTTGTGCCCCGGCCCCGCGGTGTGTGCCCGCCCCACGGACAGCTCCTTCCCGTGGAATGCCGACGGCACCGCGCTCCCCGCGGCTCGCCGCCACTAGGAGACGGGATACGGGGGCAGCGAGATTCAACCAACACTTTTCTGGGAGGGGAAACCCCTGCGGGCCTGCCCCAGTCGTGCATTTCCTGTCCTCGCTCCCCGGCCCTCTCTGTCCCACCCGGCCCTTTGGCAGGTGCTGCCCGCTACGGTCGCCGTCCTGCGTGCCGCTCCCCCCGCCGCCCCAGCGGCGCATCTCACGGGCTGACCGTAATCACAGTTACCGAAGTAGCACCGCGGCCTTAGGAGGCGGACAAAACCCGCTCTCGCCGGCAGAGCCCCCCGCCGTCCCTCCTGCCCCCTCCCCGGCGGAGCGCACGCCTACGGAGGCGCAGCTGGGCGCAGCGAGGAGCGCGGCCGGTGCATTCAGAGCCGCCGCAGACTCCACCTCCTCGTCCTCCCCATCATTGTTAGCCCTGTCATTAATACCGCTCCTTAAGCATCCTCCGCTCCCATCTCCCCCCGTGGAGAGGAGCGCCGGGGAGCGGGGAGCGAGCGCCCGACCGCCGGTCTTGTCGCCTCGCCGCTGCCCGCCGCGGGCTTCGGCTCCGATCGCCGCTCAGGTCCGGGCCGCTAGGGATGTAAAAGAGACAGTCATGTGGCCCCTTTCTGGCGGAGCTGACCCCGCGGGATTAGAGGTCTCACCAGCCTTTCTTTCCTTTTCTCTACTCGCATAAAAGCAGGTTGAAGGTGATGCGGTGTCTTGGGCAGACACTGCAGTGTTTTGATTCAGCTCAGCCCTTTTCACTGTTCAAAGCAGCTGTTCAAATACTAGGGCTGCTTACTTTGACGTGAAGAAGATTTTCAAACAACCCCAAAAGCTTTGAACTGACAGGCCTCCTTGATATCTCCTTCATTGCAGTGCAGCTACTCGAGAATATTCGCTATAAAATACATAGAGCGCCACTTAACTGGAGCTGAGTCCTGGCTGGGAGGCGAGGTGCTGCATACACATCAGGTGCATCCAGAAGGACGCGGGCGGGTTGCGGGAGTCCTCTGGCTGCCCCCCGCGGGCCCCCCCAGCTCCCCACCTGGGGGTCCCCTGCCCGCCACCCGCCCCCAGCTGCCGCGGCGGGCTCCGGCTGACGAGATGTTGGGCTCCCTGGTGTTTCAACTCCGTGCGTGCCGGAGAGAAAGCTGAATTTCCAGCAGCAAAACAAGAGCACAGCTCGTTCCTAGCGAGCCTCGGCTTCCAGCCGCCGCTCGTCAGCCTTCCCGGCTCGGGGGGCTGGGGGAGCGCTCCCCAAACGCGCGCTCCTCTCTGCGTTTGGATGCGTGCGGCTGTAGGGTGGGGAATATATATTTGCATATGCCTGTTGTGTTTAGAGGTGAAAAGCTTTTTTTTTTTTTTTTTTTTTTTTTTTTTTTTTTTTTTTTTTTAATACTCTGCTCTCCAAACCTTGAGATAGACTCACGCAGCTGAAAGGAAAGGAGGAGGGGGAGAAATCCCCGCGCCTCCTTTCCGCGTCTCTATTATCTACCCATTAGATGTTGTTTTAGGAGGAAATGCTCCAGGAGTGCAAAGACGTGGAGAGTCGCTCAGAGAATTGCTGGGTGCAATAAACGTGAGACTCCTGGTGCTCGCTTTAAAGGCCAACTTGGAAGATTTGTGCTTATTGCTGGGGCGCATTTAATGCACCTTTTGTGAGATGGGATTGTTTTGATCTCTGCTTCCTTTTTAACCTTTCTCTATGAGGTATTCAAGCCTGTGCTTTCGTGTGGCTCTTTCCAGTGTTGCTCCGAGGAGTCTGATTCGGCGGAGAGACCCAAGACATGAATGAAACTTCAACTTTAAGGGCCTGCGGAGAGACAAAACTGAGGCCGGGGCTTCACAAGTGATTGCTTTAAAAAAATCCAATCTACACAAAGAGGCAGCTGGCTGCTTTAATGAAAACTGCTTAAAGCGGCAAGAACCGCAGCCTCAGGGATGTATTTATAAGATGACTCAAAAGCTACACTTTCAAGTTGCTTCTCCTCGGGGTAGATATAACAAACACATTTAACTAAGAAATCTAAACAAAAAGGACAGAAATTGATAACTTTGATTGCAGAAGCTCACATTACCCATTGAAATTAAAATCCTCCATCTAAATATATTTCTCCACCTATTTCTAGAGAAAAAAAAATCCCTCCCTGCGTATATAGATATACACACGTGTACGTGTAATATCATGTCCATTTTTGCCCTGCTAGAATACGAATTATCCCAGAAGACAGAACGTAGAAAGGTGTAGAATAATATATATAAAAAAAAGTTCCTGTAAAGTTTGTATTAATGTTCATTTCCAACATTCCCCACAACTCTATTCTTCTGGACGCTTCATTCATCTGAGAATCTGCTATTTTATCTGCATCAGTGTTTAAACTAGTGGGATATAATGTTCTAAGTTCAGTATTTGAAATTAAATTATTTGAATTCACGGATATTAATCTTTTCCCTTCATCCTCCAGTTCTGAATCTTGTCATTAAAAATGATCCACCCTTTGTAGTCCGCAAGTGAATATTTTATAGACAGATACCGCTATGAAGACTTCTAACGCAACGTCAACCAGTCAGACTTAGCTGTTGCAGGG